CGATGGGCTGAACTGCACAAAACGCATGATCGCACCGGCTAGTCTGGTGCGCGTTGCCATTTATTCTTCTAGGTTTTATTAGTGGCTCCACATTTATTTATAATTTTTTCTTGTCAATGAATTTCCGATCAAAATTTGCCCACTTACTCATTTAAACTTCAGAAAACTTTTCTCTCCAGATTGCGGCAGTAATAATTTGCTTTATCATTTCTACCAAACAAAGTAGTTTCATGTAAGAAGGAATTAAATTAATATTGAGAGTTAGTGCTGGTGGCGAATAAAGGTGTCCTATCTCTCGATAAAATTGGCTTGACTAGCATAAGGAAATGGATAACATCCGGCTTCATCCCCGGCTCTTTCCTTTTTGTTTTTCAATTCCTCCTTTTCTTGTGCCCCATTAGTACTTTGAAAAAATCTGCAAATAATTCGGTTTTTTTCCAGCTTTTTGGCAAAATGACGGAGCGACTCGAAAGGACGGTGGCTCAGGCAACGCAGGCTCTGCGGCTCGACGAGCGACTTGGCTCATCGGTTGGCTTATTTTTTCGTTTGCCATTTTATGAAATTCCGTTTATAATAGAATTTGAAAAAGACGATACAGAGAATGCTGAAAAAAATTTTAGCAACTAAAGGCACAGACTGACTCCCGAACTGTTGACCTGTATTCACGAATCAAACGGTATTGTTACTGTTTTTTCTACTGCCAGATTTTTCACTCAGTTTAACGCAAGCATTTTAACAACTTGGCTCATTTTGCTAGACGAGTCTAGCCGTTCTGCAACTCATACAGTCGTTTTCGTGGACGAGTTCCTGTGCTTTTCAAAATTTTTTAAGGCTAGATAATTTTTTTTTTCGTAATGCACCATCACCGATAGTGTAACAAAGTAAACTGTACGCGACCTTATTTAAATACACGTAACGTGATGTTTCAAAAGCTCCGCATACTGAATGTTCCTCTAACAAGACAGTCTAATGCAACAAGTAAAAACATCCTTTTTGCTTACAAAAACAAATTTCGCTGCATTTTTTTTAATTCTTTTTAGGTTATACACTTTTTCTTATAAATCACTAGGAGTTTTTTTTTTGGTTCTGCCGCTCTAGGTCTCCAATATTATTATGACATAGTGAAGTCTTATTTTCCTGGAATACACGCCAACAGTTATCTTCTCCCATCTTAATATTCAGCGAGTGATCACTATAGAAAATGACAACCGCTTATCACCTTAATGGTCAGTAGGTGGCAATTGTGGAAAATGACAACAGCTGACCCCGAAAATCGGTTCTGTTTCCAATTTTAAAGCTGAAGCAAACAAACGAACATGCTGCTTGCAGACTGCATTATCACTGAGGAAAATTAAAGCTCACACGAATTTTTGCTGCAAAGTCATACAAACGCAGTTTTGCGTCAAGCACAGCCACATTCAACCAACGCTGTCTGTAGCTGCTATGCCTGTTTTTTTTTTTGAATTTTTATAAAAGTATCCAAAAGCAAGAAATATGTGTTTGGACAATACAGCGAGAACTCAGGAGAAAGAGACATAAAAAGGATGGCAAAAGCGATATTACAATTGGTCAGGACGGTATCTGGATTCGGTAAAGAGAAACTGGCAGCTATGAGTAATAATTTCGGGGCTTTTGATCGTTATTCAAACAAAAACCAACTTCAGATTTAGCATTTTTTGCGAACATTTTTATAGCTGTGTTCTTTTCTTGCAGTTGTTTGACTGGACCCTGTTTATCTAAAGAGACTGCTGAAGCAATTAGTAGCAAAGTCATGACTGCCTTATAAGAGTGGACAGAAGGCTTTGGTCAATGATCCATACTTGGTCCAGTTTAGCGCTTCCTTCGCAGTGCGATTGATTTAGTACTGCTGATTGTCTTTTACATGGAAATGGGCTGCTTCTGGATCGATCAGCCGCTCATTCAGGCGTCACCGTCTGTGTATGCGCTCTCGGCCTGTGTTTCGCAAGGCGCTGATATATATCCGTCAGCCTAACAACCGCATGAGGAATAACAGCTTGATGGAATCTATTCCATTGAGCTCACTCACTAAAACACATCCTTTTTTGAAAAGGGCATTTTTCCACGCTTCAGCAATGCTCGGGCGTGAATCCTAATAGCCACGAGCAAATCTGCTTGCTCGCTGGCCCGTATGGGCTTCGCCATATCCACGTGTGCAAGATACAGAACCGCAGTGAGTTTTGCTTCTATATTTAACTTTAAATGTTATCAGTGAAATAATGTAGCATCGCGTGAATACGCAAGTTGGACCGCCTGTGCTAATAACACGTTTTAATGACAGTTGTTATCATCAAGTTCTGTCTAAGAAGCCAGCTCAGTACGCCATCTGTTGACATATTTTACGCCACAAATGCACATGATGAGAGAACTTCAAAAAAGCAGGCAGATGTATTTGGTTTTTTTCCTTACTGTCAAAATGCTTTCGAGCTAATGCGAATTTTAACTTTTTCAGCACAGCTAGTGAGAGGTAATTATCGAGGCCTAGGACTCGGCCGGTAGGGCAACCAGTCCCTTTACGATTCGTACTGGCACATGCCATGGAATCAAACCTAACATCAGCTTGCTTGTAAGCAATTTTTAGAAGAGGAAGTCATCGACAGCCTTGCCAGCGGATAGTTGCTTTTGGCATTTGTTACCAGTGAGAGCAAAACACGGGGGCGCGGGGTGGGGCGGGAGGAGCGGGGAGGAGGAGGTGCGAATTTCGATTAGACGTATTTTTTATTCGAATTATCTGCTAAAAAAAGCGGAAAAAAGTTGAATTATTTAGGAGGGAAAACGTAAAAGTCTGACAGATTTGCTTAGGGACCGCTTTGACAATTATAGATGTTAACCCAGGCTGGAACACACCAGGCTGTCCGGTGCGATCATGCCTTTTGCACTAAACTCGCAAATCGCTATTAGCAGGAATGATTCCTAAGCTGTAGCCTAACACTTGGGTCATATTGGCGTGCTTTGATCTTTCCGGCATACAGGAGGAAGGGCGTCAGTTGGGATGAAGGTGGTGCATTATAGAGCCACACGGTCATCCAGATGCATGATTACTGGTTTTTTGCGCGAAGTCCAGTCGTTCTTTTGGGAAATGCTCGCTTTGTGAAAAAAATGACAAATGCATATTTTTTAAAAAAATGCAAATTTCCAGTTTACTAAAAAATGGAAGTATTGTTCGAGCGGTCGTTTGTCAAAAAACCCTTGTTCATTTACATATACGATTGCGGTTCAGGCCCGAGTTGCTAACGATTTTTGGGTTTAGGAGCTGCTTGAGGCTGTGGTCGGCTGAGTTTAGCTGAGTTTAAAATCTTTAGTCGACAGCTGAGTTTAAAATCTTTAGCTCGCACGGGCATAGAGAATATCCCTGCAAAGTTTCAGCTTTCTACGTTGCATGGTTCGCGAAATCGTTTCCCGCCAACGTATTTCTTTGGGGTCCCGCACACGGGGTCTGAGCGCGTATGGAGGAAGGTCTTGAAACGGGAGAATGACACACGGGGTAGGAACATATATCCAAAGTTTCAGCCTCCCGGCTTTCCTGGTTGCTGAGATGAAAATGGGTGACAAAATGCACTTGCTTTCCGAATACACACACAGACAGCCTCTCGACAATATGCGCTTTTGCTGGCTGTAGCAGCGCTATAGCGCGGCACAGCAAAAACGCATAAAAATCGGAAGTCCCGAGTGAGACCAATACATCAGTTGAACAGAATGACACTTATAACAAATGACTGCAGTGATGTGCAAGCTGACTTTCTAAGCAGCGAATTACGAGGGGATCTCGTGTAGCTGCAGAGGAGCACGCCTTTTGAAGGACAAGCAGCCATTTATAGGCTTATTAAAATAATCAGTGGATCTCAAAAGGGAGACATCGAATGTTTTTATGGATTTTTACATACATGCAAATGCAAAAACTCATAATGTGATTGTGTGTATGGGTTTGTGTGTATATGTGTGTGTCTACGTGTGTGTCCGTCTCGGTATTTCAATTCAGCAACCAAGCAAACTCCGAAGTTAAAATTTGGCCAGCGGGATCTCCTGCCAAATGCCATCCTTGAATCGCGGTACCATCCTTCACGCGCACCTGGGCCCCGCACACGAGCACGTGAAAGTTTTGGAAGAAAAATCGCTAATGCTGGAACCAGTAGAGTTGGGAGGCTGAAATTTTAAGGGGATGTTCCGCATCCACGTAGGACTTAAAAATTTCAAATTCAGCCGCTAACTGTGCGCAGTTCTCACGTACTAGCCCGTGAAAAGTTTCAGCGGGAAAATTGCTAACTGGAGAAACAAATAAGTTGTAAAGCTAAAGTTTCAACAGAACGTTCCTTGTCCAAGTACCACATAGTTGCACAATTAACTTCCTGAACTTCGAAGGCCAATATGTCACAAATTCTAGCCGCTGGGATTCTAAGCGATCTTACTACAGCACGAAATACCGCAAAAACGCATGATCACAAGCGCCCGCCTGATGCACGTTGCCAATAATGTTAGGGGGCGGCTACTGTTGACACATGCCACCGCTCGTGCTCCGTCTCTTATGGAGTGAAAGTGAGGAGGAGTTTTTGACTTGGGTTTCCGATTAGATTAATTAGTACTATTTTGAAAAAATCTGTTTGTAACTGGTGGTGTAAAAGTAGCAATTAAAATTAATTTGCAGCGTGCTCCCTCCGCTCCACTTCATTCAAGCATCTTGTGAACCTGTGGCGCTCTAGTTAATAGGATCGCAGAGGTTTTCTTATTCTTGCGATTTTCTTCGAAATTTCATGTTTTTTTATTCTCGAGTGGTTTGGTGTAAGCAGCTTGTTACCGATAACAGCAATCTCTAGGCTTTCCATTCTAGGGGAAAGGAAAGCCTTTACTAAAGAGGTCTTTCATTCTAAATTTTTCCTCTAAGAAAATTTTTAATGAACTCCTTTATCGATATCCGTTAAATATGAATTTGTAATACGAATCTGTCAACAGTGGCTCAGTTTCGTGAGTTTCATGAGTGTACGCGTCGATAGGCGCGATGAGTGTGTTTGTCGTAAAGGAGGGATGCGGCGGAGGAGCAGTTGTCACCTGTGTATTCGCTCTCCTCATCCAGTTTGATCACATTTCATGGATTCACTTTACGCCTCTAACAGAGTGTAATGAAACACCCAGTCAGTCATGCACACGTATTTGCCGCACTGGTAAAACAATTTAGCCACTTAAACCGTCTTCTTCCCTCGTTTTTCATTTCCGATGCTTCATAATGCCTTTCCGTTTACCTTTTTACGTAAATCGGTGTACAACTGTGAAGCCATTATATGCGTATGTCTGCTGGTTACGGCCTGTCTGAATTATTTCAAAATCGAAGGTGGGAGAACT